GAACAAAGTCATGTACTGCGCAACTACCAAGGGCAGACAAACACAGGCTGTCGCGTGTAGTCGCCGCACTGGTACTCGCCCTTCTCCGCATTCACATCGTTGGGATCCTTGTCGGCCGGATCGTTCACGCAGCCAATGACCCTCTCGCCACACCAGAGCGCTCCCGGGTCGTCGCCGTCATTGCGGTACTCGCACACCTCTCCGTCAATCTCGAGATTGAGCTCTTTGGTGCCGCCAGGGTACGTTGTGCCAGACTCATCCCACGGTACAGTCTCAAAGGGCCGGAGGAAGTCTTCGCGGCACTCGACACCCTGCTCATAGTCAGCTTCGAGGAAGAGCCAGTCCATCGTGGGGGCGCCTGGAACATAGGCACCGAGCACTGCGAGCTGCTTGGTTGGGCCAGTCGGCTCTGGCTCTTGCTCCGGCTCTGGCTCGAAATCATCGCAGACGCCACGCCTGGCCTTCTTTGTAGGTGATTCTCGAAACTTGTTGTGGAGGTCTTGGATGGCCTGGTCTACATCGCCCATGAATTTCTCCATTCCTTCAGTCTGGAGGGTATTGAGATCGCGGAATTCGAAGAGAGGCACAGAGCGCTCAGAATTGAACATCTTTTCTTGAGTTTTGCCTAGTCTTCCAATAGACCCGTCGATTTCTCTGTCGAACTCGGTGAGCTTATCGTCTTCATCTGATTCTGGGTCTAGACCGTGGATCCAGTCACGGATGTTGCATTTGGTATCGCCTTGAGCAAAAGTGTAGTCGCCAAATTTGTTGTCGGTAGGCTCGGGACTTTCGGGGGTACCTCCACATACGTCTGTATCAATTCTACGTTTGGTTAGACTGCTCAAACCATCTATAGGTCAAGCCATAACTTACTCGGTTCCGCCACTCTGGTAGCACGCAAGGATGTTGAACAAATCCCAAAGTTTGTCCCCCTTTGATGCCAACTTGGAGCTGACATGCGACAGCATCACGTTAAAATTCGTTCGAGGCGTGAACGATGTGAAGATCTTGGGACTTGAACCCGGTTGGAGAGGATCCTTTGCGTTTTTGGCGTACGATAGGACCAGGGTGCAAAAGGCCAGCACGTCATCCGTGGCTGCTTCCGGACCGATGCCGCCTGGGCTGGACTGGAAGTGATTCTTCGTCACGAAATCAAGCTTCTTGTTTTGGAAACGATCGAGCCCATTGAGGATATTTGGCTCGCTCTCATCGAATTGTTCCTTCATAAGGCTGTACAGTGCCTCTAATGGCATCGGCGTGGTGATTTGGGGCTGGTAAGATATCTTCTCCGGTTTCCTATTTTGGCGGGTGATGATCGTCCACTTATTGCACTTGTTTTCGGCTACGTTGACCTGTCGTGCAGGTGAGTCAAGTTTTCCGTTCCATGGGTACCAGTCAATCTGAAGTGGTTAGCGAGATTCATCACGGGTCTGCTGGGCGGCGCCTACGAGATCCTGAGCCATAGCTGCCGCGACCTTTGCGCCGTTGGTCGCATCATCTGTGCTGCCTACTTTGACCTTGACACCATCAATGATGTACTCAGCCTGGAGTGCTCCAGGTTCGTTGACAGAGTCTGCAGTGAGCTCCCAGTTCGTGCCTGTTCGTTCAGCAATGACCTTTCTCTTTGCGGCGTTTGTATCGTCTGCGCTACATCCCGACTTCGTAAGGCGGAAGTCCGGACTCTCAAACTCGGCACCAATCCCGGCCGTCCCGTCCGTATTGACTCTGTCGGGATCGTCGGCCATTCCATCTTGGATGTCTAGCTGGCATTCCTCTAGGCGCCGTTGCAGAGGCGTACGGATCACAGCTGCAGACGCTGTAAGGACAACTGAGGAACATAGTAGGAACCGCATTGCAGAGGATCGCTTGGCGCGCATGGCGAAGAGTAGGGAAATTGATAGCGGATGAAGGAAGTAGGAGTTAACGATAATAGAGGTGATGATGAAGCAGTGAGAAACTGGCTGTGATGATTTGTGTTGAAAAGAGAGCCAAAACATGTCCTCTTTATAGCCCTGATATGGAGATAAGTACCAATGCTGACGATCGCATTGAGCCCCCTCATGCTGAGATTGAATGCTGGAAATAGCATCTCCGAGAATGACTTCCTCATGGCTCGCATGGTGCGGGCAGACGGCCGCCCCATCTTGTTGCAATGGAGGCTTTTGCTTAGAAGAAGCTGGTGATCAAAATACGAATACGAAGGAGACATGACGAAGACAGTGGAAAGTTGTGTATTTCGGGGGCGAAGATGAAGCGATGGTGGAGAAGAGGAATCGGTTGAGGGAGAGACAAGGCCCCAGTCTGAATCACTGTCAGTCGCAAAGCAGGATTGTGAACGCCCCGTCTGAGTCAAAGGCGCTTTTTCTTGTCCGTTAAGTTGGTTTGGGGAGGAGTAGGAGTCGGTTCAGAATCAACCTGAAGCATAGGGCGAGGCCGGCTTGGCGAGGTGGTAAGCCTAGGCAGGGCTGTCCAATGGCCTCCCTTCCTTAGTCGCTAAAGGCTTCAGCAGGGTCTGTCCCAGGGGCATGACGTCAGCCCGAGACAACGTCTGCTATACATATCGCGGACCCCAAATCTCTCGCCTGATACTGTGCGCCTAACTAGACTTACCCTAAGGCTATTGCAATCATACTGTGTCCCTCAAGAGTACACCTTCAATGGTCAGCCCGGGCCAAAATCAGACCCCAAGCTGAGTCAAAATCGCATTCTCCTCGTAACTAGACGTTGCATGTACCATTGTTTTCAGGATTCTTGTTCTCACGAAGTCGTCTACAACGTCGCTATGGCTTTACTGGAATTAGCAGACGAACTCCTCGCGCTCATCGTCGACCATACGATTCCAGAGGGTTTCGAGAGCCTATGTCTGTCCTGCCGCAAGTTCCACGCGCTTTGCAAGCCCTTGCTCAAGCACCACAACGAACTCCGCTCGCACTTTCGCAACTTCGATTATCTTCTCAAGGACAAATACCCTTCCCTCACCATCAGGACGCCGTTTGAACTCATAGCCCGAATCGCTGAAGAGCCAGTTGTTGCGCGCTACATCGAGCATGCAGACTTCAAGGCGGACCTTCGGCTACCTGTTGGCGGACGCCTCTGGATCATGGAAAGGGATGGCTATCGTCCTGAGACCGTTCGCGACTTATTTGCCAGTTCGAAGTACTTGTCAGGCAACGAATGGCAGGACTACTTCGAAAAGTATGAACGAGGCCTGGAAGACAACCTATATACTCAGGCTGCCTCGTCGTTTCTCCTAACACTGCTGCCCAACGTCAAGACCGTGGTTCTTCCATTTCGCTGGACTCACGACAAAGAAACCGATAAGCTTTTTGAGGCCATCGTCCACCACGCGCGTCAACCCAACGCCACTTCGACCAATGCCAGTCTCGCTCTAGTCACCACTCTGAAGACTGGGTTCTCGTTTGCAATGCGACAAGGTCTTGTCTTGAACAAGATTACTCCGCTCCTGGCCCTTCCAAACATCCATACTTTCCACGGCCCCACTTCAATATCCGACATTGAAGCTCGCGAGCCCTCTTCTCCTTGCCAACCAATCCCACCCCCTGTGGGCGGAACACTGGAAATAGCCTATCTGCGCGGCTGCAACCTCGATGTTCCCGCTATGCAACACTTCCTGCGCTACACGCCGCGCCTGAAAACGCTGGTTTACTCCCACTCTGACAAGCAACTCAGTCGAGTTTGGGATATTTGCGACCTCGTTACGACTATCGGCAAGGAGGCTGGCAGTCATCTCGAAGAGCTGTCTATCACAAAGCGCGAATTTAGCGGCAAAATCGCGCTTGGAACAGCGAACATGCGCGACTTCCCGCGTCTGCATAAGTTAGAGATCCCTCTTGACCTTGCGACATGCGTCATTAGATCCGCTGCCCATCTCGGAACGGATCCTGCAGATCAGTCTCATGTCGATCTTCTGATGTGTGGCCTAGTCCCCGCTTCGGTCACTCGGTTGTTCCTAACATCAGAGGAGTGGAAAAGCCATGACGATGACACCAACTCCACAATCATGTCAGAGACAATCGACGGGGTTCAAGTATTTGAGGGGAGACCGCAACAGCACAAGCAAACCCTCGAAACCATGTTTCACGGCTTTGCTGAGAAAAAGGACGAGCAGTTACCTTGCCTCAAGGAGATCCGCATGTCTTGTCATTGGTCTGCCGACGAAGCTTTGAAAGCCCGATGCGAGAGCTTGCGCGCCGAGGTGGAAAGTGTGGGCGTGGAAGCTCACATTCATGCTAATCGGTGGACGCAAGTGATGGATTATGCGGGGAGATCGCCGTAGACATCGTAATGCAAGTTTCTTCATACATAGCTCTCCATGACTTTCGGTGCCTTGCGTGTATCCCTTTGTTGATTGCCCTGCGTTCCTGTCAGCGAAAACGCCCTGCAGCTATGGAACGCCGCGCCGAATTGGCGATGAGGTCAACAACGCTCTAAACTGGAACGAAAGTATACGAAAGATGTGAGATCAGGCATGGAGTCTGAGGGGCCAAGGCATTTCATTCAGCCATCTTTCGTAAAACTTGTTTCAAAGTGAAACGCGCGGGAGAAGAACAGTAAGACGGCGAGGCGTCCATTTTCGGACACCAGCCGCGAAACGTCGTTTCTTGCGAATGGCCCCAGAATTTGTCTTAATGATACTCGATATGACTACAGTAACAGGCCTACTCCATGTTTCGATAGCCAAGACGTAAGATGGTGGCACGGAAATACAATCTTCTCGAAGAGGAAAAAAAAGTGTAATGCCGTGCCTCCCAGCTGACGTAGGTCTTGTCGCGAAGGATTGCGGCGCTTACACCTAGGTCTACGCGCGTACCTACAGGCCGTGATCTTCGCCCCGTCACGTCATGCCCAGATGATCAGGGATGAAGAGACATTCAGTTTCAGCATCAGCATATACGAACATACCCGCCCGCGGGCGGCCTCTTCGCTCAGCCTTATCCGCCTCGCTACCTAGATTAGGTTGTTTTCGGGAACGTCCGCCAATGCCTGACGCAATTAGGGTCCAAGCAGATCTCATCTACCTCAGCGGTACCTAGCCGTCGACTCAGAAGAACGATCTTGGTAGCTTCGACATCGAGTCCGCATGTAAAGAACCCCATAGTCTGTAGATACGTCATGCCAGAGCCTGCTACCGCGTCTTGGAACGTGAACATCAGCGAGGCTGACTTTGTGAAGCCCAAAGGCGGTTTCGAGCGTGAAAACCAGGGCGATGAGTGGCGCATGCGGAATGCGGAGGAGAGCGGTAACGACTTCCTGTTCCAATACGGGCGGGCCGGAACGGGAAGTGAACTGTATATCGTTCCTGTGAAGTCAAAGAACGGTGACTGCAACACCGGAGCGCTTCCGGAATGTGACTTGAACGATATCTGGAATCACGGCGCAATCGCACTTCCTGTGGATGAGCAAGGATAGCGAGACTCGGACGCGTACCTCGAAAATCTCAAGAAGGGATTCGATGTGACTAACGTGGAAGATGGACCTGGCGTGCACGGCGTCTGCAGCGTGTAGCGGATCACATTGCCAGTTTGGAGTTGGTTTAGACAAGCTCGAAAGTGGGTCAAGCTTTGGAGGGGCTCGCTTGGACGAGCTTTTGCGGGGATAGCAACGGGTTAGGGCCGGTTGACCATGGAGCTCTATCAGCGATATCACGGCATAGATAAACAATTCCGGCTTCTATAAGTTGCGATATCGCTCTTACTCATCGGTGATATCTTCGTCTTTTACTGTTTTCTTGTCCTCTTCGATATACGCCGTATTTGTGTGTGGTGAGGCTGAGCTCACATTTACGCGTCGCGTCCCCCCCGCATTAGCTCCCCGCAGTGTCAACACAGCAGCTATACGCCGTCTTTCTTCCGACAACAACTGTCCTGACGACGACCACGATGGCGTCTCTCGCTCGCACTGCTGGGCGTATTCGAGCCCCAGCTTTCCGAGCAAATGCTCGTCCAGCTTCCAGAGCACCAATTGCATCACAGAAAAGACATGCTTCTGCAGCAGCAGCCGCCGTTGCAGAGAGCAGCGAGCATTCCTTCTTCCCAGATGAGCCTCGCCAGCCTACTGTGAAGACACAAATACCCGGTCCGGAGAGCAAGAAGGCTATCGAGAGACTAAGCAAGGTGTTCGACACCAGAAGCTTGAATATGATGGCCGATTACTCGCAAAGCTATGGCAACTAGTACGCCTTACATCAATTCATCAAGGGAGATAGACTGACATCATCCAGCATCGCAGACCTCGATGGAAACGTCCTCCTCGACGTATACGCCCAAATCGCCTCCATCCCCGTCGGCTACAACAACCCATCCCTGCTCCTCGCAGCCACCTCCCCCGATATGGCCTCTGCCATCATCAACCGGCCGGCACTAGGAAACTTCCCGCAGCACGACTGGGCCGACATCCTGGAAACGGGCATCCTATCCGTCGCGCCCAAAGGCCTCAACCAAGTCTTCACCGCGCAAGCCGGCTCCGACGCCAACGAACTCGCCTACAAAGCCGCCTTCATGTGGAAACGCCAACAACAACGCGGCGGCATCGACGCCGACTTCTCCGCCGAAGACATATCCTCGTCCATGAACAACAAAGCGCCCGGCGCACCCGACATGTCGATCCTCTCCTTCAAAACCGGGTTCCACGGCCGCCTCTTCGGCAGTCTATCAACCACGCGCTCCAAACCCATCCACAAGCTCGACATCCCCGCCTTCGACTGGCCCCAAGCCCCCTTCCCAGTCCTGAAATACCCCCTTCATGAACACGAAGCCGAAAACGCAGCAGAAGAACAGCGCTGCCTCGACGAAACCGAATCCATCCTCCTAAACTACCACAACCCACCCGCAGCCGTGGTAATCGAGCCCATCCAATCCGAAGGCGGCGACAACCACGCCACGCCCTTTTTCTTCCGCGGCCTGCGCGCCCTCACACAGAAACACAACGTCCTCCTCATCGTCGACGAAGTGCAAACGGGCGTCGGCGCGACGGGCAAGTTCTGGGCGCATGAACACTGGGGGTTGGACGCGCCGCCTGATATGGTTACTTTCAGCAAGAAGGCACAGACGGCCGGGTATTACTTTGGGGATAATGCGCTTAGGCCGAATAAACCGTATCGCCAGTTTAATACTTGGATGGGTGATCCGGCGAGGGCTATTCTCTTCCGGTCTATCATTCAGGAAATCAAGCGTATGGATCTTGTTAACAACACTGCTGCGACGGGCGAGTATCTTTTCGCGGGCTTGCAGAGGTTGAGCGAGAGGTTTCCGCAGGAGATTCAGAATCTGAGGGGCAAGGGACAGGGCACGTTTATTGCGTTTGATAGTGTGAGGAGAGATGAGGTGCTCAGGAAGGCGAAAGGTGAGGGTGTCAACATCGGCGGGTCGGGAGAGAGGGCAGTCAGGTTGAGACCCATGCTCATCTTCCAGAAGCACCACGCGGATCTTTTGCTGGAGAGGTTGGAGAAGGTTTTCCACTCTTGAGACGGTGTATAGGTCATGGGTTTATGAACCTGCGATGACAATGTGATGGACGACTATTTGCTTGGGACGGACAAAGTGGAGTTCGAAGGCGTTGATAATCGTGTTTGGTCTTTTGATAGGAAGTAATGACGATGATGTTCAATTGCTATCGAGTTCTTATTGGTAAACACTGAACTCCCGTCTGGAGGATATGTAACATGTCGGACTTTGGGCATATTCATCATCTAGAACCCATCAATCTTCATCAAGATATACCTTCCCAAACAGATTACCAACTTCTTTACCATTAACTGTCTCGGAATCTTCAGACGCGGGAGACCGGAGGTAAGGAAACCGCGCTAGTTAACCCCGCCAAAAGTTTCGCGTCAAGATACCTCGGGAGCTCCAACACTGCGACAAAGAAACCCAAAACGCGCGTACGCTCTCACGCCCTCAATATGGCGCCAATAGCTACCCAGAAAGAGCCTACTTCCACCGCGACCGCCGATCCAAACTCCTCAACATCTCCGAACGCGCCCATCCCCAACAACGCAGACACGAGCATACCCTCCGACGCAACTCCCACCCCAAACACCCCACCCACCAAAAAGCGCAAACGCAAAGACAAGCCCACAGAAAAACAAACACATATCCTTCACCAGACCACATTCCGAAAAACCAGCTGGAGTTACTTCCACCTCATCCTCCTCACACCAGGCACCGCTTCTTTACCTCCCACAACCACCACCACCCCATACAACCCATCTCCTCCCCCTCCCTCCCCCTCCCTCTCCCCCCTCCTAATCTCAACCCTCCTCACCGCCCCCCTACGCGCCTACCTCGGTACCACCGGCACCGCGATCCCCATCGACACGCTCAAGATACATGGACGGGAAGTGTGGGTGCGGATTCCGCGGCAGGATGCGCGTGGATTTAGGGCGAGTTTGAGTGGGTGGGTGGGGAGTTGTGAGGGGGATGAGGTGCCTGGGGTTGAACAAGGGGTGGGACAAGGGCAGGGGAGGGTGGGTGTGGCGTGGAGGGTTGTGGGGGAAGGGGGGGTGTTGGGGTGTTTGGGTGGGGATGGGAGTGGGGATGGAGGGGAGTTGTTTGGGTGAGGGGTTTATGAGGGGTGTGTGAGGATGATGGTATATACGAGTTGAATGGGCATGGTGCAGCGCGGCGAGGGCTACGTGGAAAGATGTGCGCATGGCTAGGGGGAAGAGGGCGAACGGCGCGGTCGAGAAGAGAGACATGTCAGATCGCCAATCCTCGATACGACCCCGACACGCGCAGTCACCGGCCCTCGTACTACACAGATGTCAGTCAAGCGAAGGGAAACAACGAAGGAGGACAAAGGCCACGATCGAAGTCGAGATTACGACCGGACCTGCCCATCTCGATCAGTCCTGATACCAAAGGACTTCAGACACCGCCATGCCAGATCACCGGGACAACACAAGACAGGACTCAGGAAGAGAACAAAGATTATTCAATCTACACAGTTCAGAAAGGTATCTCTAGCAAGACCAAGACACGATGTTCAAAACACTGAACATCGTCCGTTCCCCGTTCATCGCCATACCGCTATACCGCAATCTACCAAGACCATTTATTCTCTATCCAAGTACCGCGCAACGATTCGGCCGATCGAGTGCGATGGGTTTACTGCCAACCCGGCTGAGGAGTGTGGTGACTCGGCGGGCCTCCGTACCCAGCCTGATGGCCACCAGGTGGAGGAGGATACTGTTGGCCGCCTCCGTATTGGTTGGCGTGCGTGGGAGCACCGCCGTACTGGTTGTGCTGGTGGTTATCGTAGTTTGCGGCGCCGCCGTAGGGACCGGTTGGTGCGCCGTATGCCGGACCTCCGTAGCCAGCTAGATGAATGTCAGTCCCTACGAATCTTGATTCGAGGAGGTGTTTTGTTCATACCTTGTTGTCCGTAGCCGCCTGGTGGGCCGCCCGCTGGTGGTCCTTGACCGTAGCCTGGTGCTGGCCCGCCGTATCCTGATTGTCCACCAAATCCAGCTTGCGAACCATAGGGTTGGTGCTGGCCGTGTTGACCGTGCTGTTGCTGCTGGGGCGGAGAGTGTTGTCCGCCGTAGCCTCCGTGGGCTTGACCCTGACCGTATTGTTGTCCAGGACCTGGGGATGAGTAACCGTGGCTTGGAGCGCCGCCGCCGTATTGGCCGCCTTGAGCGCTGGGGTTGTAGGACGTTGGCGGCGCGGTGCCGGTGTAGGTGCCGCCTGACGAGGCACCGGAGTAGCCGTAGTCGCCGTTGTTGGGCTTGTTGTGCTAGATGATATCAGCGCGTTTCTCTGAGTCGAGGCTCATGTCCATACCGATGATCCTCCACCGAGGACGCTCCCAAGCATGCCCCCAAGACCACCACCACCGCTCGATGCGTGACCAGCGCTGCCACCATGTTGACCTCCAGAACTTCCATGCTGCTTCCCACCACCTAGCAGGCCACTAGCAAGCTGTCCAACAAGCTGTCCCGCACCACCGCCACCAGAGTGCCCCCCAGAAGAACCACCATGTTGTTTTCCACCTCCGAGGAACGATCCAGCGAGTTGACCGACGAGGTTTCCCGAGCCACCGCCGCCATGTCCACTATTACTCTGCTTGTTGCCCATGAGCGCGTTCATCGCAAAGCCCTATTCTCATTGTCAGCCAGCGCCCGATTGATGCCCAAGTAGCATGTCGCGTACACCCAATCCACCTGCCCTGTCGCCAGTCGGGCCGTCGCCCATGCCTCTTTGTCCGTCGCCTGCATCGGGGCCTGAGGTGCCGGGGACGTTGTATGGGTTCGTCTGTTGCGCGGGTGTGCTGTGGGACGAGGAGCCGCCTACGGGCGCTTCGCTCGTGGGCAGTTCCCATTGCGAGACGCCGGTGCTGATCTGGACATCTATCGCGGCGGAGTCAGTATGTTTTGCTTCGTTCGCGGGTCGAGGCGTCGGTGGGGAGAT